CGTAAAGGTTTTAAAAGTTGCAGGCTACGGATTGAGTTTTTTTGTAGTATTGAGGTTACAGTCGCCTTTTTGTTGTGCTTGGATTCTGTGATTCTCTCCCGGGATCGTATACTTTGTGGGCGCAATGTGGCTCGGGGAGGGCCACATCGCATTTAGGTCTAAGCTTTTGAAGAGGAGAGGAACTCCGGTGTACGGAAGCAATTTTCGTATTCTCCGGAGTTCGTCCCTGCTGTTTAGGCTTAGTCCTAGATGACTTTTCTCAGCATGGGCCCCGGGTGTGGGTACTTAGGACAGAACGCGACTTTTTCGCTCTTCGCAACGCGACATCGCGCGGCAGGCTGGCGCACCCGCAGCGAAAACAACTACGGTATATAAGAACGCGCGATTGGAGCGCGATATTTGTGTCGGCTTTGATTGCGACAAGGAGTTTGAAGCTTAATAGCCATGGATTTGATAATGAACGAGGAAATGGTAACCAGAAGTGGACCGCTAACTAGCAGTGAAGAGGGAGGTAGGTTATTTTTGCAGAGATGGATGGTAGAGCTTCTGGAGAACCTGGAAGAGGAATGGTTGATGGACGTTTGATGAGACGACTGTAAACTTCTGCATAGGGGTTATTTGGGGCCCTGATCATGAATATGACACTAATTTTTCCCATTCGTGCTGTTTAACGCATACTTTCTGCTTTACTAAGCTTTCTCACCTACAGCGCCTACGACTAAGCTTAGGGGAGGGGAGTGAAACTCCGGAGTGGGTAAACCACGCACCGTGTGGCAAAAGTTGGAGTGTGTCAGACCACAGGGGAATGGCCTACCCACTTTGGAGCCCTACACTACTCAAAGGCTTAGTCCTATTGCGATCTAATTAGTGCGAGGGCGCAGACGAGCAGGATGCAGGCGCCGAATAGCGCTAAGAACAAATCAGGACCCCGAATAACCCCTATACAAAAGTTTAAAACGAATTTAGTGGGAAACAGTTGTGGCGCCACCTGGCCCCAAATGGCGCCAGCGTCCAAAATGAGTATCATATCCGTAATGAGGACAGAAGCGTTTCGTAAAAGATGTTATACCCTTATGCAGAAGTCTATACAACAATATGAACCCACAAAATGCAAGCACAAGCGGCCCTATTAAACCCTCGTTCACCGATAATTCGTAAAACACCATTTTGTGGCATCGCCCGGAATCGTGTAAGTCACAAAACGTTTTCAATAATGAGACAGAATTAGTGATTCACCGCATTTATCAATACAATGGGTGTGAGCGCGGGCAAGTAAGGAATCAGAAACTTACAAATTCACGCATGCAAAAAAGCTGCTCCAATCGCGCGTTCTTCCATACCGTAGTTGTTTTCGCTGCGGGTGCGCCAGCCTGCCGCGCGATGTCGCGTTGCGAAGAGCGAAAAAGTCGCGTTCTGTCCTAAGTACCCACACCCCCCCCCCCTCTCGTACCACACTTGCCCCCTACTTTGTGTTGAGGACGGTTGGAAGTATGTGGTACATTGAGATTTTTGGGTGCTGCTTTAGGCTATAGGCAGGAAGTGCACCCTGCGATTTCATGGTGGAGTACGGAAGAGAAAGAAATAGTTTTTAATGAAGTCGAGAATTATGTTTCGAGAGTCACACAACTTTTGTCGTTCTGAGGCCACCATACATGTCTCTATCGTGGCCCACTGACTCCTTGGAGATCAAGGGTCTAAGGTAAGAGGGGGTCAGGAAACTATCTGACTATAGTTGCCAACCATCATAAGAGGGCTACCACGGGAGCCGTGAGGGATATCCTCTAGGAAAGGCGATGCAAGATGGACCGCAAAATTTGTTCAAACCTATGGACCACTCTAAAGGGAGTTTGCTTTACTTTTGAGAACCTCGGGATCGCTTGCCACCCTTACTTTTACCACGGGTACATGACGCCACTGCTACTCTGTCCACGAACATCTCGATTGGCGAGTGCAATATGTCATGTGCGATATGCCATTATTATTATCACTAGACTGCTTAACGGCAGTAAAGCGCAATGACATTGAGGCTACATTTACCTTAAATGGAGAATTACATCCGGGAAGGTGGTAGGTTTCTAGAACATGATTAGTCTTTCCCGCGCATGCCTAGCAATTGCTGCAAGGGGTTTCCTTTTCGCTCGCTACCTCTAGATTCCAGGAATAAGCTCGAGAATCGCAAATGCTCAGAAGTTCTCCGTGAGAAGAATGAGACTCGCAAGTAAAGTGATGTCGAATTGAAGTACATAGCCCTAGGCTTAGAGGCTCTTCCTCGTAATAACTGTCGTTGGACCCAAAGTTCTGGATCAGTTTTCCTCGTAGAGAAGAATGCAGCCTTCCATGCTTTTTCAAACAAAGGCTCAAGGACAGTTGGCCTGTGAAGATTTATTGCAATTTTATTGAGGAGCAATGCAAAGCGCCTCTTCCCTACTACATGTGCAACCGGAGCACTGACAGTCGTCATCCGTTTGGCACGGTTCGCCTTCTTCATATATCTTGGATCGAATATAATTTCCTCTGAAATTATGTTTTCAAAGGAACTTTTATAGACGGAAAAGTTATTTAAGAACTCTTACGTAGGTTTATACTCGCATCCCTACTAATGTCTGGTCTGGGCACCATTCCACGGCACACCCGATTTTGTTGCTTGATTGCCAAACCACCTAAGCCGAAAAGGTGATCGTTTGTCCCCTGGCACAGCTAAAATTTCTAGTATCACCTGAGTGTAATGACCCAGCTTATAGAGTATCTTCGGTTTGAAAATGTTATGCCGAGGTACGAAATGTTCGGCCAATTCGTGGAACCAGCCGTCGACAGCCTGAAAGAGAATCAACTGAACAGCTGGACAAGATGCTGCTCATGCTAGATATTCTACCTGTGCTGCTGCCTCTTTCTTGTTGAATCTGAGAGCTGATGTCATGAAAATGTTCTGTCCCCAGTGATTCCTTTCCGAACTTGATGAATGTTCGAACACGCATCTTTTTGCCCAT